TACACTAGTGACTGACTAGTGTGCAATCAAAAATATCCAATACAGTCCTACAGGAGGTCAGTCGCGAGCCTGAATAGCTCAGTGGTAACGTCTCTGACTGCAGCACTGGGTGACGCGGGTTCGAATCTCAGAAGGGACATCAGTTCCTTCAAGGTTGCAGATACGCCTTGCTGATGAGTGCCAACTAGCACGAAACCTAGGTCCAAGGCTTCCTGCCGATTGCCTCCAACCATCTAATACCAACAAGTCTAATAACTCGGGAAGGCGAGAAACACATTCATCAACCTGAAACCAATCTAGAAATCTTCCGCCGTCACTCAACCCAGCCACCACCAACAACAAAATTCCGATTTTCAATACAAACGTCAAGTCAGTCACTTCTTCTAAACGGATAACAAAACTGGCGGGTCACAAAGAATGAGTATTTCCAACAGCCTGTTGCAGACCTTTATCAACAGCTGTCTTAGCTGGCTCTATACTCAAGATCAAATGGCAGGAATGAACAACAACCAACAAGAAACAAACTATGGGAACAAACAAAACAAGAACCAATCGCCCAACAAATATGCAGGAGAAAGTGGAGATGGACACTCACTGGCTGAGGAGGCCGTTGGGTGATATCGCGCGTCAGGCCAACGCTCGAGTGGAACCCGAAAGAGGAGCGGCGAGTGGGACGTCAGTGCAAGGGTGACATGGAGGAGATCGTGTGAAGAAGAGTTGAAACAGTATGGAATAACATGGATGCAGGTGAAAAGTACAGCAGAAGACAGAAGCAAGTGGAGACGTACAGTTGAAGCCCTATGTTCCACTAGGAACCCAAGGGAACAATAATAATAATAATAATAGATACTGAAAATATTCTATGTTACACTTCTTTACCTTAGTTGTTTTCTTTGCCTTGAAATTTCTGTAGTGACTGAGCTGAGTTTTCTGGGTAACATCGCTAGCCTCATTCATGCATGCTCAACGTTCCCTCTTTTTCTCAGCTGAAAATTGGCTGGCTAGCAAACTAGGCTGAGTTTACTGGATACTTACTTGATAAATGAGTTTCGGTGAGAGAAACAAAAAACCCGTCTAGTTCGCAAACAACTAACTAGGCAGAAATATTATGTCAGTCAAGTAATCATAAGAAGAAATGATTTGCTTTATTTCATTCAAAACAATACTTATGAAATAAATAGCCTAGGAATTTTCACCATTTGTTAGAGTACTATTCAGCAAACAACGAAACAAAAATCATCATCACAGGGTATAATAGCAACTCTTTTTGCCATTAGCAGTAACAATTAAGTCAAAATATACAAAAGTGTTAAACGATAATAATAATAATAATAATATTAATAGTAATAATAACAACTAAAATTGTTTTTCTTTTCGAGTTTCACCACGGATTATTATCAGTTAGAGAACCATTGAAAACCAGGCAGGGAATACTTACTGGACAGCTGTTTCATCCAAGGTTTTGAGAATCATCGGCAGTACGCACCCACCCACTGCCGCCGATGACATTCATTGATGGTTGCGTCAAATCACGAATTGTTAGAAGTTAGAATTCATCGGCTAGCCAGCCATTGAATTGGGTCCCAGTGGGCGAATGGGATACAAGCTTGCCTTGTAACCGGAAAGTCCTGGGTCTGCTGAACCCTGGCAGTGGGTGCGTATTCCCGATGATTCCCAAACTAGACCAAAGAAACAGTTTTCGAGTACTTTATTGCAATGCCACCGATTGACGCCGCAGAGGCAATCTGACCTTTCAGGTAAACGCATACAGCGCCAACGGTGTCAAAACTCGATTTCTTTTCTTCACTGGAAGAACTACACCCAAGCATACAATCGGTAATATTTGCATTCCTATTCGTTTCGTCATCATCATGTAACCAACTTGTGCATTTTTCCGACAATAATTGTGAAGCTGTAGTGGTAAGATCACAGGTATCAATAAAATGTCCTTTCCTGTCGTAGCTGCCCAGACACGAACCCCATCACCGATAAGTAAAGATGGCTGGTCTGGACACGTCCACATTCACCCAAAGGCGGCTGGTCAATCTGCGTCTGTAGAAGAAGTCTTGCGAGTTTTACAGGATTTCTTACATTTCGGACGGCTCCGACCCCAGCAAACCGATGACGGGTAGGACTACTCATTATGCCTGCGTCACACTGGACAAACCCATTTATAGTTAAATTACTCCCAATCCCCGCATTGGTTAATGGACGGTCTTCTAAATAAGCAACGGCAGTCTCTACGGCATCCACAGCGTTCTTATTTTCAAAAGACATCAGATCAGAGGCAAGTAAGCAGGCTTCATAACATAATTCATTATATATATTTCTCTTTGTTACATTTTGATTGGTTTCCTGCACCCGCATGCACAATAACACAAGCCGCCATGATGTAGCACTACGAAATAACTCTCCTGAAGCTTCTGTTTACGATGGCCATGGCAGGGACAGGGGTTGGACGTATTTCTTTTGGCCATGGCCATCGTAAACAGAAGCTTCAGGAGAGTTATTTCGTAGTGCTACATCATGGCGGCTTGTGTTATTGTGCATGCGGGTGCAGGAAACCAATCAAAATGTAACAAAGAGAAATATATATAATGAATTATGTTATGAAGCCTGCTTACTTGCCTCTGATCTGATGTCTTTTGAAAATAAGAACGCTGTGGATGCCGTAGAGACTGCCGTTGCTTATTTAGAAGACCGTCCATTAACCAATGCGGGGATTGGGAGTAATTTAACTATAAATGGGTTTGTCCAGTGTGACGCAGGCATAATGAGTAGTCCTACCCGTCATCGGTTTGCTGGGGTCGGAGCCGTCCGAAATGTAAGAAATCCTGTAAAACTCGCAAGACTTCTTCTACAGACGCAGATTGACCAGCCGCCTTTGGGTGAATGTGGACGTGTCCAGACCAGCCATCTTTACTTATCGGTGATGGGGTTCGTGTCTGGGCAGCTACGACAGGAAAGGACATTTTATTGATACCTGTGATCTTACCACTACAGCTTCACAATTATTGTCGGAAAAATGCACAAGTTGGTTACATGATGATGACGAAGCGAATTGGAATGCGAATATTACCGATTGTATGCCTGGGTGTAGTTATCGAGTACTCCCTATTTTTTTTCAATGTTTCTCTGACTGATATCAATCCGTGGTCAAAGGCGAGTAGAATAGTCTAATCCTTAAAAACCAGCTCTTGAAAATAACTAAAACTGTAAGATTTTTGAAATAGTATAACGTGGGGTCCACAACATGGATATTAATTTATGATTATTATTTATTGCTTAATTTATTCCTTTACGTTCCCTCCCAGTGGAACATAGGACGCCTTAGAGCTAGAGGCTTCAAGTTTCTGTAGCAGTGGTGATTATTTTTACAGGATGGGGTTGCTGGCATCACGCCTAACCTTCCCTCTTTACCAACCAAGTCTTACTACTGGCTTAGCAAGGTAAAGGAGTGCGTCTTTGGTCGCAGATCAAAACGCCGACCGCCTGTGTTATCGGCGAGAACTCTACTGCTTTGCTACCGACGCACTGTTTTCCTTTACGTTTTCAGTGGAAATTAAGGCTTCAAACTTAAGCTTTGAAGTTTCGATAGCAGTGGTTTTGTTATTTTTACAAGGTGACAGACACTGTTAGCCTTCATGCCTAGCCGCCTTCCCTCTTAACCGACTACTCAGTGAGTGAGGTTAAGGAGTATGCCGACTGGCGACCTAACCCAGGCCACATACGTGTTTAGTGAAGGCGGCTCTACCGCTGAACGAACCACCGACGTACATCAGTTTATGATATTATCTATAAGATACTTCATTCTCCTGTTCAAATGCAACATTTATCCTCAACTAGAAACAACTTTCCCCTCGCCTACTTGACTGACTCTGTCAATAGTAGTAGTTGCCTAACAGGTTCACAATTTTCTGAGAAAAGCTTAACACCTCAGGTTTCTAAATGCAAACTAAGATGAACTCAACGATTAAACTATCCAGATAATCAGTGGTAAGTAAGTAAAGTTGCTAACTCCAACGCTGGCTTCAGGTGAAGCACATTGAAAATTCCCACAAAAATGCAAGCATAAAATTTCGATAGAACAGACTAGTCAGTCTGCTGATCAATGCCTAACACACAACACTTAAAAAAGCTTCGTCAGACTGTGTAGCAGTTACACAAACCTCTAATTATCTTAATAGTCAAACTGTTAAGTTATCAACAACAACAACAAAAAAACACTTAGCTAAAGACAACTACCCTTGAATGACTGGTTCGCGCTAACATACATAAGCTAACATAAGCACAAATGAGGAAAATATGAAAACATTTTATTACCAGAGTGGTAGTAGTGTTGTACAGATGTAATCATACGCATGTAAACAATTCTATTTCTATGCAAGTCTAATAACTCGGGAAGGCGAGAAACACATTCATCAACCTGAAACCAATCTAGAAATCTTCCACCGTCACTCAACCCAGCCAGCATCAACAACAAAATTCGGATTTTCAATACAAACGTCAAGTCAGTCACTTCTTCTAAACGGATAACAAAACTGGCGGGTCACAAAGAATGAGTATTTCCAACAGCCTGTTGCACACCTTTATCAACAGCTGTCTTAGCTGGCTCTATACTCAAGATCAGATGGCAGGAAAGAACAACAACCAACAAGAAACAAACTATGGGAACAAACAAAACAAGAACCAATCGCCCAACAAATATGCAGGAGAAAGTGGAGATGGACACTCACTGGCTGAGGAGGCCGTTGGGTGATATCGCGCGTCAGGCCAACGCTCGAGTGGAACCCGAAAGAGGAGCGGCGAGTGGGACGTCAGTGCAAGGGTGACATGGAGGAGATCGTGTGAAGAAGAGTTGAAACAGTATGGAATAACATGGATGCAGGTGAAAAGTACAGCAGAAGACAGAAGCAAGTGGAGACGTACAGTTGAAGCCCTATGTTCCACTAGGAACCCAAGGGAACAATAATAGTAATAATATAAGTCTAATAACTTACCGGCATACCGAATCGATTGACCACTAATCGTAATGCTTCATCCACCTCTAGATTTGTCATATTTAAAGTCTTCAGAAGTAACCTAAACGTGTAATTATCAAAAAAAAATTGAATTAAAATGAAATGTGTGGATGAAAAAATGTTTTACAAGGTTTGTTAAGGTGTTTGCATGTCATTTAACTGAACTAAAGTAACACAAAACGTTGTCAATAGACGAGATTTCTTGCTGTTTAAACATTTAGTACTGACAGTTCTCTCATAAAAGTGAGTGACCATTAGGGTGCAGCATGTCGGATGTGAGGACAAATGCTCGCCAAAGACATTGGCTAGCGGTTGTGCTATATCGTGAATTGGCAGAAGTTGGAATTCATGCGCTGGCCATTGGATCGGGTCCCAGTGGCTTAATGGTATACGAGCCCGCTAGCCTTGTAACCAGAAGGTCCTGGGTTCGAACCCTGGTGTTGAGTGCGTACTGCTGAAAAGTCCCAAACTATGTCGAAACAGTTGTCCAGTACTCCTAGGTTTTCCAATGTTTCTCTAACCAATGTCAGCTCATGATGAAATCCTGTAACCAATCAACCAAATCCACTTCTAGTTGGTCTTTGAAAGAATCCCACCAAAACTCTGTTAACTCTAGAAGGTTGATTTCTTTCAGGTGTTTTTCACTACACTTTTCCAAACAGTAGGCAACTATCACTACTTATCTATGCAGAAAAAGGCTACTGCTATTAAATCACTCGAATGGCCGCAATTATTAATAAACTTAATCTCTCTCTTCCTTGAATTAGTTAGTCGACTACTGACGTGGCTACAGACTTCTAATGCCTAAAGTGTCTCAAAAATATTTGTTACACATTGTCTAAAAATAGCCAACAACAAGATACCATCAAAAAAGTTTAAAAACAGGGTTTCGGGTGATTATAATTGATGAAATGATTATGAACATTAAATTGTGTTCTAAACTTTTTCATCCGGTAAATAATACTGTTTCACTCACTGTGTGATACATGTAAAGTAAACAAACTAATATAAAATCTTAACCGCATTAATTTTTAAGTTACTGTGTTCCAGCCATCATTTACAAATTGTGCATCAGACAGAAAGTGTGTAGGTGCAAAATGAAGACTATCTCAGGAATTAAATAACCACCTGTAGGCTTTACCAAGGGTCACTCACAGTCACTTCCAAAACCACAAATATGCCATAATGAGCAATGTTCATATGTTTAATTAAATAATAGAGCACAAAAACTAAGTAGTACCAGGAAGTGAGGCATATAAAAGAAGCTTTGAAACTTAATAATTAACCTGAAAAATTAGTCAGAAAGTATGTAGGGAAATGTAAAAATAAAATAAATAATGATAGTAGCGATAGTGATAATAATAACAATAATAATAATAATAATAATGACGACACCAACAATAAGGAATCTAAATCATCAGTAGTAATTCCATACAAGGAAGGAACCACGGAAATGACCTTACGCAGAATTCTTAACAAGGCAGGAATAAAAACGGCTGGCATTCAAACCCACAAACTCAATTAGAAACAAGCTTTGTCGGTTAAAGGATCAATCCTGTGGAGCCAATTAAACAAAACAATTTAGTTTATCTAATACCCTGCCTGCAATGATTGTCAGGTCAAATACATAGGTCAAACTAGTAGAACAGGGACAGTCAGACTAGCCGAGCATAAAAAACCTAGCAAAATGTAGATTAGTTGACCCGAATAAGATAAGAAATCTAGAGAATAGTTGAGCTAGCCATAGCACCACATGCAATTACACACAACCATACAATAGGATGTAATAAGATGACAGTTTTAAAATCTAATGTCACAGGGTGGAGGGAGAGATTGATAACGGAAGCTTTGTTTATCGAATCAACTGCAAATACATGTAATAGGAATGATTCATCACCTGTCCCCGATATCTGGAAAATTCCACTACCCCTAAGACAAATAGGAGAGAACAAAGAAAACTATAAAACTCAAGTTTCAAAGTCGTGTGATTACAATTGCTGTGATTATGAACAATAAATTTTGTTTGAAACTGTGTCATCCAGTAAATAATACTGTTTCACTCACTGTGATACATCTTATAGACAAACTAATAGAGAAAGGGTTATAGCAGAGACAAGACATACTACCACTAATCTATGAATCCTTTGACTACTAACATTGACAATGCGTTATGGTTACTTTCTAGTGTTCATGTGATCCAGACAACCTACAGAATGAGGATCTAGGTGAAATATGCCACTGAATCAATGGATGTCGAGCGGGTGACATCATTTATGATTGTAACTAATAGTTCCTCTGTTCACCAGAATATCAAATGCACATTTCGTCTTATTTTTTACTTGTTAGCCGGAGGTGCATGCAACCTTCACTCCTTAATAATGCTTCCATTGACACTGGAACCCAACACCCATCATTTCTGCCCCCAAAGTGTCATTTACTAGGCCATGAGAGCCATCTATTGTGTAACAAGCACCAGTTATTATTTGTTTAAGTTAACTTTGACTGATCATATTGGACTGAAACCAATCAACGGAAAATAGAAAATTATCAAGTGTTAATTTGCAAGGATTCGATTGGTTGAGGGTTACATCACGAGTTGACATTAGTTAGAGAACCATTAGAAAACAAGGGAGTATTGAATAGCTGTTTCGTCCTAGCTTGGGACTCTTTAAAGGTACGCACCGACCACCAGAGCTGGAACCCAGGAACCTCCGGTTACAAGGAGAGTTCGTAGACCATTCAACCACTGGGACCAGATCCAATGGCTCATGAATTCCAACTCCTGTCAATTAGCGACGTATATATAGCGTAACCGCCACTATATGTCATAGGCGAGTATCTGACTTCGCAGTGAAGAGTCCCAAACTAGGACGAAACGGCTATCCAATACTACCTGGTTTCCTAATGGTTCTCTAACTGATGTCAACTCATGATCAGGCCTGTAACCGATCGAATCCTTGCAAACTAACACCTGGTAATCTTCTATTTCCCGCTAGTGTCCACTAGAGACTGGATCTATACAGGAACTTCTTGTAGTTCTACAGAGAAGTCGTAACCAGAGGAGTCCATCAAGTCAGGTAAGAGACCAGTTACTAGACAATGACACTAGCTGGCAATCGCGCTATATATATATATATATATATATATCGCAAGTCGAAATAAGCTGAAATACAAAATTAACCCATACATTTCTCCGCTCATTCCGTTTTATTCCATCGCATGCAGAATATTAATCTTTGATTTATTTGTCTTTTCAATCATTACTTTTTGTGAAGGTTTCATGAACGGTTATGTAATAATGCTAATTACTATGCAGGAGAGAAACTTTTATGCATTATATTAGCTGGAAATTTAGGTAAACTAGTGATTTAAAAACAGGCCACCACAATGAATGCCTATCTGTTTCTTTCTAACCCAAAAAAAAAACTGTCGGTTAAATTCTTGTTTAGACTAAAAGGTTTCTCCACATTTAATAACAACCGCATTAAACACGAAGTTATAAAAATAAACAGGAGTTGCTTACGCTAGTCGGAGAGCAGCTATACTGTTCTTTATGATACAGACACGCTAAAAATTTGTCTAATCAAATTACATTCGCCTGAATTGCACTCACCACTCACAAATTTCACAGTTCCAGTTGAAACGTCATTATGATATTTAGACTGAAATATGGCAACAATCAGGAAAACTATCAAAATACCTGTATCATATATACAGTAGTTGTTGATATAAGTGGTTGAACACCCTGTATTACTCGTTAGTCAATTTTCAAGCGATTCAAATCCCAAACGGTTGTTTTAATCTTTTGAAAGTGACCTCATTAACAAAATAAATACTAGGCTATGATAATTTCAAGTTACCTGACTTCCGTTTAAGTCAGCAGTTACAGAAGCTTTATCTGCTCCACTAACTTACTGACTGGCTGACTGACTTTACACAGGAACGCAGGAGTTAAAGTTAGCACACTGTTTGTGCCACACGAAGAAGGTAGACAAAAAAGAGAATCAAAAGTACCAAAATAAGCAGAAGTGTCAGGGAGAAAAAACAGTAATATGGAATAACAGTAGGGTTTATTGGATTTCATTGATCACAAAGAGCTAATGCACCTGTGCTATTATTGGGAATGATTTTGAACCACATCTCCAACACTCTTAGGCTATCGGCTCTTAGTGACCTGAGGATCCCAATCAGGCGGTCTACACACCTCTTTACGTGGCTGGCTGGAACCAACAGTCAAAGACAGACATGCTGTATAAATTCTAGGTTTTGAACTCACCGCCACTAACTCTGTTCCAACCCAATCCTATGTTAGCTAACAATGTTCGTCGAGAAAGGCAATGGCTCGGCATGTGTAACACATATTCTAGCTATCTCAATCGATGTAGTTTCACACCCTAATCAACTGACTTACCCTCCTAACCTTACACTAGACGCCTAACTTCAATATTGACCACCATATTATACTACTTAATACGAGAGATAGAACTCAGACGGCCATGATCACACCACAACCTATGATATAAAATACCCCTATTGCAAGCCAAATTAATCCAGCATACTTATAAGTGTATACGCATTTCTGTTTACTGCATATGTAAAGGGTACACAATACCATTACATCTCATTATATCAATCAAAAGTGAACCCATTTTGTAAATTAAATTAAAAATCAGAAAAGAAAAACAACAAATTCGTACTCTTTTTTATACAGGCATTAAGAATAGGCTGACACTATAAAGGGTAAATTGAATAAGAAAATGTTTTCCATTTTTTCCAACGCCTAGGGAATAGGAAGACTAGCGAGTGATTCAAAAAAGTCAAGCCTGTTATAATAATCATCAACGGAATGAGTCACTTTTACTAATATGACTTTCCTACCTAGTAGATTTGTCAGCCCACTGTTTTAACCATTATTCGCAACTACAACCACCCTGACATGAGACCACCGCCACCACAGGAAGCAAAACAAAAAGAAAAGAAGATAGTCCGTTGACAGGTTTTAAATGACTTTGAGGGAGAAGTTTCACTGATAAGCTGGAACAGTTAACAACCATTAGAGTT